CTCACATGACCTCTGTAGTAACATCCCGTGTCTCTGGCCACATCATTGCTTTTGTTACTCACATGACCTCTGTAGTAACATCCCGTGTCTCTGGCCACATCATTGCTTTTGTTACTCACATGACCTCTGTAGTAACATCCCGTGTCTCTGGCCACATCATTGCTTTTGTTACTCACATGACCTCTGTAGTAACATCCGGTGTCTCTGGCCACATCATTGCTTTTGTTACTCACATTACCTCTGTAGTAACATCCAGTGTCTCTGGCCACATCATTGCTTTTGTTACTCACATTACCTCTGTAGTAACATCCGGTGTCTCTGGCCACATCATTGCTTTTGTTACTCACATGAACTCTGTAGTAACATCCGGTGTCTCTGGCCACATCATTGCTTTTGTTACTCACATGAACTCTGTAGTAACATCCGGTGTCTCTAGCCACATCATTGCTTTTGTTACTCACATGACCTCTGTAGTAACATCCGGTGTCTCTGGCCACATCATTGCTTTTGTTACTCACATGACCTCTGTAGTAACATCCCGTGTCTCTGGCCACATCATTGCTTTTGTTACTCACATGACCTCTGTAGTAACATCCCGTGTCTCTGGCCACATCATTGCTTTTGTTACTCACATGACCTCTGTAGTAACATCCCGTGTCTCTGGCCACATCATTGCTTTTGTTACTCACATTACCTCTGTAGTAACATCCGGTGTCTCTGGCCACATCATTGCTTTTGTTACTCACATGACCTCTGTAGTAACATCCGGTGTCTCTGGCCACATCATTGCTTTTGTTACTCACATGACCTCTGTAGTAACATCCGGTGTCTCTGGCCACATCATTGCTTTTGTTACTCACATGACCTCTGTAGTAACATCCCGTGTCTCTGGCCACATCATTGCTTTTGTTACTCACATGACCTCTGTAGTAACATCTGGTGTCTCTGGCCACATCATTGCTTTTGTTACTCACATGACCTCTGTAGTAACATCCGGTGTCTCTGGCCACATCATTGCTTTTGTTACTCACATGACCTCTGTAGTAACATCCGGTGTCTCTGGCCACATCATTGCTTTTGTTACTCACATGACCTCTGTAGTAACATCCGGTGTCTCTGGCCACATCATTGCTTTTGTTACTCACATGACCTCTGTAGTAACATCTGGTGTCTCTGGCCACATCATTGCTTTTGTTACTCACATGACCTCTGTAGTAACATCCGGTGTCTCTGGCCACATCATTGCTTTTGTTACTCACATGACCTCTGTAGTAACATCCGGTGTCTCTGGCCACATCATTGCTTTTGTTACTCACATGACCTCTGTAGTAACATCTGGTGTCTCTGGCCACATCATTGCTTTTGTTACTCACATGACCTCTGTAGTAACATCCGGTGTCTCTGGCCACATCATTGCTTTTGTTACTCACATGACCTCTGTAGTAACATCCGGTGTCTCTGGCCACATCATTGCTTTTGTTACTCACATTAACTCTGTAGTAACATCCGGTGTCTCTGGCCACATCATTGCTTTTGTTACTCACATGACCTCTGTAGTAACATCCCGTGTCTCTGGCCACATCATTGCTTTTGTTACTCACATGACCTCTGTAGTAACATCCGGTGTCTCTGGCCACATCATTGCTTTTGTTACTCACATGACCTCTGTAGTAACATCCGGTATCTCTGGCCACATCATTGCTTTGTTACTCACATGACCTCTGTAGTAACATCCGGTGTCTCTGGCCACATCATTTGCTTTTGTTACTCACATGACCTCTGTAGTAACATCCGGTGTCTCTGGCCACATCATTGCTTTTGTTACTCACATTACCTCTGTAGTAACATCCGGTGTCTCTGGCCACATCATTGCTTTTGTTACTCACATGAACTCTGTAGTAACATCCGGTGTCTCTGGCCACATCATTGCTTTTGTTACTCACATGAACTCTGTAGTAACATCCGGTGTCTCTAGCCACATCATTGCTTTTGTTACTCACATGACCTCTGTAGTAACATCCGGTGTCTCTGGCCACATCATTGCTTTTGTTACTCACATGACCTCTTTAGTAACATCCCGTGTCTCTGGCCACATCATTGCTTTTGTTACTCACATGACCTCTGTAGTAACATCCCGTGTCTCTGGCCACATCATTGCTTTTGTTACTCACATGACCTCTGTAGTAACATCCCGTGTCTCTGGCCACATCATTGCTTTTGTTACTCACATTACCTCTGTAGTAACATCCGGTGTCTCTGGCCACATCATTGCTTTTGTTACTCACATGACCTCTGTAGTAACATCCCGTGTCTCTGGCCACATCATTGCTTTTGTTACTCACATGACCTCTGTAGTAACATCCGGTGTCTCTGGCCACATCATTGCTTTTGTTACTCACATGACCTCTGTAGTAACATCCGGTGTCTCTGGCCACATCATTGCTTTTGTTACTCACATGACCTCTGTAGTAACATCCGGTGTCTCTGGCCACATCATTGCTTTTGTTACTCACATGACCTCTGTAGTAACATCCGGTGTCTCTGGCCACATCATTGCTTTTGTTACTCACATGACCTCTGTAGTAACATCCTGTAAAGAATATGCTACTAACTCTATTGTATATGACACTTGGTGTAATGGAGTTGATTCAAGAACCCACATTACGGCACTCAGGCATTCCCTTAAGTGCTCCATTCCCATTTTCAGCAGCCAGGGCAGAGTTCCAATACCCATGGTGCCAACAGCATTCTGATTATACGTTCGTCTTGCCTTCCCGTTGGCTCTGTGGCTAAGTCGATGCGAACGCTTCGTGATGCCAGGATGCCGGGTTTGATCCCGGATGGGGCCATGCGCCTTGCGTTGGTTTGGACAGTGGTATCAAGAAAGCCGACCGTCCAGAAAGAGATGGCAAACTACTGGACGTAAATTTGCCTAGAAAAACCACACAATAGTCAGGGACAGTAAGGGTTGGTTCTGCAGCGTCCTGTAAAGGATATGCAACTAACCTCACCTTGCTTTCCCACTGAGCGTCGAGTATCGACCAGATTCCCTCGTCACCCCTACTGTGTCACTCTCACCAGACTGTGGTGATCCATTTGCTCTTCCGACTTGTACAGGTTTTTCCACAAGGCCCTTATCATGTATCAGCGTTCCACCAAGTTGTGCAGTGCCAGCCAGTCTGTCTGCCGTTTCATTTCCCAGCACTCCGGCATACTCCGGAGAAAAAATCCAGACAATGCTCCTCACCTGTGACCTCCGAAGTGAAGCATGCCACTGAGCACATCCATATTAAGTACTTGATTGTACATATACATATATATATATATGTCTGTATTTTGGCTTAGGCATTGCAAACAAGCTTCATAATGCCGAGGTGCTAGGTTCGATCCCAGCTGCGAACGGTTTGTCTTGTGTTGGTTTCAACAGTGGTACAGAGAGCTGACTGTTCAGATAGTTACTGAACGTAACATTTGCCTAGAAAAACCACAACAGCCAAAAAATGCCGGGGTTGGCTCTGCAATTTCCTGTAAATGATATATAACTAACTTTATTTTCTGTCTAAACCCTTTGTCTCAAGATTTATATTAAATAATCGATTGTATATATAAAATATCTTTACCTTTTGTCTCAAGAACTATATAAAACAATTGATTTATATATTACATATCTTAAGCTTTTGTCTCTTGATTTGTTTTAAATAATTGATTGTATATATAAACTATCTTAACCTTTTGTCTCATGATTTGTTTTAAATAATTGATTGTATATATAAACTATCTTAACCTTTTGTCTCATGATTTGTTTTAAATAATTGATTGTATATATAAACTATCTTAACCATACAACATCAAAATCACATTAAATATTTCCTTTACAAACAGTTTATTTTAGCATCTGTTATGCCAGATTTATTTGGTAGCTAGCTTTCTAGTGTAATGTGTGTGTTTGTTGGGGCTATCTTCATAATGGATTTTGGCTTCTGTGGAAATGTGTATACAGTCCTGTCTTTAGGAATATTTGTTTCCAGGCCCCAATCTCTTCCACTGTAGAACTCTCTTATCACTTTCTGAAAGCCATGAGGTCTTTCTGTCCTTAACCGCCTGCACTGGTAATTGAACCCAAGAATTGTGAAGTGCATTGACTAACCTCTGAGTCACAGGGCAGTATATTAAATCCTGTTGTGTGTTGCAGTGTTTTCTACACTTATAGCATGGGATTTCAGGACCGTTTTTGTCAACATTTGTACTATGTATGTTTCTTCTCAGATGCTCAGCTTTCATCCTTTCTTCATTCATTTATCCTTCATTCTTAGTCTCTTCCTGATGTGCCCACTCCATACAAGTTGAGTCGGGTTAAGAATTCACATCACAGCACTCAGGGCATTCCCATGCATGCACCGTCCTCATCTTCAGCAGCTGGTGCAGAGTTCCAATACGATGGTACTGGTCACAATCTGGTTATATGTCCATCTTGTCTTTATTCTGAGTGTAGTGAGCTGTCTAGACCCTCTGGTTACACCCAGGTGCCTCATTCTCTCCAGGCCATAATAATCTTGATTTTCTACTGATTCCGTTACTTGTTCCCAAAGGGCCTTGACCACATCTGCCTTGTCATGTATCAGTTGACCACTGGAGAAAAGATCCAAAGTATGCTTACTGCCCATGACCTTGCCTCCACACAACACAGTCCAGAACAGTTCTTAACGCGAGCGGGTCTTGCTAGTCACACTTGCCATTGCCATGGGCTGAGCCCCATGCCTCCTGTAGCCCACTATAACACAAGTGTCTGCAACTACTGAAAGGTGCCAGTAAATGAGAAATGCCAATGATGTTACATTATGTCACTGTTGTTGATGTTACATTATGTCACTGTTGTTGATGTTACATTGTTTATGTCACTGTTGTTGATGTTACATTGTTTATGTCACTGTTGTTGATGTTGCATTGTTTATGTCACTTGTTGATATTAATTTTTTTTTTTGGGGTTATTTTCAGCACAGCGGCGCCGAAAGAGTAGCATGGAGGACAAAAGCTTTGACTCCCCGACCCAGCCCAAGCGGCCACGAGTGTTCTTCACAGAGGACCAAAAAGATTCCCTGCGGCAGGCCTACAACCAAGATCCATACCCGAACCAGAGCACCATCGAAGCCCTGGCCAAAAGCTTAAACGTGGGCGTGAAAACCGTAATTAACTGGTTTCACAACCACCGCATGAGAGCCAAACAGCAACATCATCTACCCGGAGATGCCTCCGTCAAGTCAGAACCAGATGAGAGTTCCAACCAGAGCGACATATCGAGCATGTCGGGGGATGTCCTGTCAGGCATCTCAGCCGGCCAGTTTTTTCACGGGGGCATCACCACCACCGACGTCAACCAGTGGATATTCCCCAAGTTTGAGCCCATGGCCCTGAAACGAAATGTGCCTTCTGTTAATGAAGATAATGAGGAAGATAATAAAGAAAATAATGGTGGGTTAGATGAGGATGATGGTGATGAAATGGATGAGCCCGATGGATTGGATGCTGCATCCAGCATACACAACAACACTAAACCTGCGGATAGTGGCAGCAGCGGTGGGGACGTTGAGCAGCCAGAGAGTGAAGATGGAGAGAGTGAGAAGACTGAAGGAGAGGACGTGAGTGATGGTGTTCAGCAGTGGGCCAAGTCCAGGGAAGATGGTTTCTCAGATAATCACAGCAGTTCGGCCACAGCAAACGGCAACAGCGGCTGTGGTGTTAGCAGACGTAAGCGCTCGAACCCTCAGCGTATTTACGAAGGTGCCCAGTTGGAATGGGTACCTGGAGATCCCATTCGCGACGTCGTTAGTGAAGATATTCATGGGTCTTCAGAACCTCCTGTGGCCTGCAACGAAGTTCATCCAACCAGTTCTGGTGGCAGTATTCAGACAGACACCCCGAATGAGCATGATTCATTGCTGGCAAACGGGATCGGTGCTGACCCCAACACAGCCACTTCATCACCATGTCCCAACAACGTAGAGTTAGATAAAACAGCCAGTTGCAGCAAGGCAGCCATAAACAATCATCAGAGTGACCCGAACGTCCACCGAATTCAGAAAATTGAGAAGATTCAGAAAGCCATCAAATCAGTGGTTGAAAAGTGGGACTTTGAGGAGGATGGGGAGAAATCGTCATCGATTGAGAAGATTCAGAAACACATAGAAACAGCATCCTCCTGTGATGATTGGGCTTTCTGAGCTGTTGAGCGTCATCAGCGCTGTTTCTCCCAGAAACTTTTCTGTTGGTGTGTTCAGCAAATTTTGGCTGCTAGTATGGGCAGACAGGCTGCTAGGGCAAAATGTTGCTACCCTGGATGGGTACATCAAATATGTACAGCTGATGTGTCTGCAGTGTTTGTGGGCAGCTGCACAACATATGTGTAACTGAAGTTTGACCAGGGTGTGGATAAGTACACACAATGTGGACACAGCTGTTTGACATGCATGCATGGATATCTACCCAGAGTGTGTGCAGCTGTTGTTTCACCAGCATTGTGAGTAGGTGCAAGCAGTGTGTACAGGTGATTATCGCTTTGTGGATCGTTACACAAAATAAGTTGTGGATAGCTGATGAGTATGGGTATGTACACACAAAAACTGGGGATAGTTGACACGTCTGAATAGATACACAAAAATAACTGGATGACTGGTTTGTCTGGATATGTACACACAAAAACTTTGGATATCTGATGTGAGTGGATAGGTACATTTAAATACTTACGGCTGTTATTTGACCATCATTTGTTGTGTAGTACACAAAATATTTTCAACTGTTATTTCATTTACCAGTGTGTGTGGCTGTGTCCAAAAAAATATGAGTGACTGGTAATGGATAGTATTTTTAGCTGCGTAAGGTGCATGCATACACTCAATGTACAGTCATGTACACATTGTAATTAATTTTTTTAAATGTGTACATCAAATATTAAACAGACGTGTACTCACTGAAATGCATGTAAGAAAAATATACAGTAAAGTGTTGAGTTGTGAACACATTTTAATAACCAACAAAATGTGTACAACAAAGGTTGACTGCCATGCACTGCTGTTCTGGCAAACCAGATGTGTACCAGGCATGGCATGTTTGGTTGGGTAAACAAAATATGTACATCTGATGTTGACTTAAATGTGTTTACACAGTACCAGGTGTATACAGTGTGGATATTAAATGTAGACTGTGTGTGCCCAGTACTCGGTAAACAAAATGTGTACACATAATGTTGTCTTGGTATGTAGTACCAGGTAAACTGTTCTGATACCTAATATTACCTTTTACATGTACACTGTACTAAGAGTATACATCAAATGTGGACTAGTTTGTGTACACAGTGCTAGATAAGGAAAATGTGTATATCTAGCAGGTGTACACAGTACATCTAGTGTTGAGTGGTGTGTGTACACATTGAAATCTAATTTTGCCGGGTATGTGTACACAGTACAATATAATTTTGACTGGTATATGTACCCAGTACAGTCTAATGTTGACCAGCATCTGTGCTCAGTACAATCTAATGTTGACTGGCATATTCACAACGAACTCTATAGTTCAAGGGCACTTTTACATTCAGCAGAAGTGTCCCCGACTTTTAGTACTAGTCATTTTTGTTATTGCGATTCTTCACTGTAAAATATGTACATTTCATTTATACTTTAATAACGTGTAGATGTTTGCTCGCGTTGTTTTGTTCTTTATGTTGTTTATGATAGAGCTTTTGGAAGCTAGATCTTTATAACCAGAACTGTACGTTGTTTTATAAGTTAGAAAGTGTCAGGTAGTTAGAAATGTGTTTTTATGATTTGTTTGCATGCTGTTGTCTTGTTTGAAAGAGAGTAGTTTCCTAAGTTATATTATGGACAGTAATTTTCTAAGACATGTGTTAAAGATTACTTATCTAGAACATTTTTTTTTAGAGATTTCTGAAACATGTTTTATAGAACATGTTTTTAGGACATGTTTTATATCGATTTCTAAAACATGTTGCAGAGATTGTATGTTTCTAGGATGTGTTTTAAATCGATTTTGAAAAGATGTTTCATGGAACATATGTTTCTAAGGCATGTTTTCTTAAACATGTTTCATAGAAGGTATGCTTCTAAGACATATTTTATAGTTTCTTTTCTAAAACATGTTTGATAGAATGTATGTTTCTTAGACAAGTTTATTTCAGCATACCTATCTAAGACTAGTTTTACATTTTGTTTTATTGTGTTTTATTATTTACCAAATCTGATGTTGCAAAAATATCATTTCAATGCAAATTTTCACAACAAATTATTTCGGGAATATAGTCATTAAAAAAAAAAAAAATGTGTTTATCCCTCTCAGGGCTAGCAACTCCATCTGCTGTCTTGGTTGCGCACACCGCTTTTTCTTCCAGCCAACAGTAAATTATGGTTCTGTAACAGTTTATATTGCAGTTGTTAATGATTACATGGAAGGGTATTTAATTGGAAATAGATTCTCTCAATCTTCCATGTTTATTTTCTTCTTTTTTAAAATACAAATTTGAAAATCTAGAGCACAATATAATTGCTGTTGCACGCAGGTTTATCAGATCAAAACCAGTTTTACAGTGTACCCACTTGCGGTTTCCGTCTGCCTGTTATTTTGTTTTTGTTTTTTTATATTTTTGTTTATAATTGAGATTGTTTTTTTTTCCTGTTATTTTGTAGCACATTATTTCAGTTTGATGGAAATCTGTTATTACTTTTTTAGATACAAGTTTATCGCAGGTGATTTTTTTCAAATTGTTCACTGCACCAGAAAATCTCCAAAACTAAGTTTTCCAGTATCCTCTTATTGATACAGCAGTTCTTCTTCTTCTGCTGAAGTTGTCCTTTAAAAGGCAGGGCTCGACACATCTGAATTCAGCAAATCTTTCATGAGTTGCCTTTTACAACATGCATTCTGTAGAGCATTGAGTTTCTTTTTTTTTTCTATTTTCTTTTTCAAACCTTAATAGGGCTCCAGAACCCACATAGATAGGGCTCTAGCGCTCACATAGATAGGGCTCTAGCACTCACATAGATAGGGCTCTAGCACTCACATAGATAGGGCTCTAGAACCCACATAGATAGGGCTCTAGCACTCACATAAATAGGGCTCTAGAACTCACATAGATCAGGCTTTAGCACTCACATAGATAGGGCTCTAGCACTCACATAGATCGGGCTCTAGCACTCATATAGATCGGGCTCTAGCACTCACATACATAGGGCTCTAGCACTCACATAAATAGGGCTCTAGCACTCACATAGATAGGGCTCTAGAACCCACATAGATAAGGCTCTGGCACTCACATAAGTAGGGCTCCAGAACTCACATAGATAGGGCTCTAGCACTCACATAAATAGGGCCCCTGGAACCCACATAGATAGGGCTCTAGCACTCACATAGATAGGGCTCTAGAACACATAGATAGGGCTCTAGAACACATAGATAGGGCTCTAGAACTCACATAGATAGGGCTCTAGAACACATAGATAGGGCTCTAGAACACATAGATAGGGCTCTAGAACACATAGATAGGGCTCTAGAACACATAGATAGGGCTCTAGAACTCACATAGATAGGGCTCTAGAACTCACATAGATAGGGCTCTAGAACTCACATAGATAGGGCTCTAGAACACATAGATAGGGCTCTAGAACACATAGATAGGGCTCTAGAACTCACATAGATAGGGCTCTAGAACACATAGATAGGGCTCTAGAACTCACATAGATAGGGCTCTAGAACTCACATAGATAGGGCTCTAGAACTCACATAGATAGGGCTCTAGAACACATAGATAGGGCTCTAGAACTCACATAGATAGGGCTCTAGAACTCACATAGATAGGGCTCTAGAACTCACATAGATAGGGCTCTAGAACACATAGATAGGGCTCTAGAACACATAGATAGGGCTCTAGAACACATAGATAGGGCTCTAGAACACATAGATAGGGCTCTAGAACTCACATAGATAGGGCTCTAGAACTCACATAGATAGGGTTCTAGCACCCACATAGATAGGGCTCTAGAACTCACATAGATAGGGCTCTAGAACTCACATAGATAGGGCTCTAGAACTCACATAGATAGGGCTCCAGAACTCTCATAGATAGGGCTCCAGAACTCTCATAGATAATGCTCCAGAACTCTCATAGATAGGGCTCTAGCACTCGCATAGATAGGGCTCTAGCACTCACATAGATAGGGCTCTAGAACTCACATAGATAGGGCTCCAGAACTCACATAGATAGGGCTCCAGAACTCTCATAGATAGGGCTCCAGAACTCTCATAGATAATGCTCCAGAACTCTCATAGATAGGGCTCCAGAACTCACATAGATAGGGCTCCAGAACACATAGATAGGGCTCCAGAACTCACATAGATAGGGCTCCAGAACTCTCATAGATAGGGCTCCAGAACTCACATAGATAGGGCTCCAGAACCCACATGGGGCTCCAGAACCCACATGTGGGGATCAACAGTAAGAATTTCAGTACAGGATACAATGTTTTAAATGAGTTAAAAAAATATATTTTTTTTTAATTTTTTTTTTTTTTATTAACTTTTCACAAGAATTAGAAAAATGGCAGTAATCATTTTGGGCCATATTATAAGAGTAGAACTGTAGCATGTTGTGACAACTGGAAGGATTCAGGAAAAGAGATATACAGTTTACTGCCAGTATTTTATGTTTTATTCTTATACAGTGTGAGAGTTGGGCTTTTACTATGGAAATGGAAAGGATGATTCAGGCTTTCAAATGTAAATGTTACAGACTATTTTACAAAGTAGTTGTTTAGAACACAAAACTAACAAATATGTCATAGAAACAAAATAAACAAATTTGCAGGACAACAGGAGCCTCTCTTGGCAGTGGTGAAACGTCACAAGCAAGCTTAGTTTGGGCACTTGCTAAGACAGGATCCGATTGCAAAGACTGTTTTTAAAGGAACATTGGGGAAGTGGTTATTATAAAGAAGAGGAAAGCAATGAAGAACCTGGAATGACATCAAGAAATGTACATGACCAAGTTATCATACACTTGTTCAACATGCGGAGGACAGAGTAGATTTTATGTGTTGGTGCTTCCATCAATACACCTCCACAACCCTCATCGTTCAAGAGTTATGTTATGTGATGTTATGTTATGTTATGTTATTGAGGAAGACAGTAGTATAGATTCTGGGCAACCCACCATCAT